CTAAGAGAGAGATATAAGAGACACATGCTGCTGAGAGAGATGTGAGAAACATGTGGTGCTGAGAGACACTGAGAGACATGTGCTGCTGGGAGAGAGACTGCTTGCTGCTAAGTGAGATGGTGAGCTGAGAGAGACTGAGCATGTTCCTGAACTTAAATTGTAGCCTGTTGCTTCCTTAATAAACTCCATAATCTGTGAGTTCTGTGTGGCCACTGCAGTGAATTAGCAAACCCAACAGAGAGGTGGTGGACGCTGTGGGAGGAATGGTTGGTGTCAGGGTTGGGGAAATGGTTGGAGGCAGCTGGCATGTCTGGCCTCATGGAAATAGGCCTTGGGCTACTGATGGTGATTCTGTCTTCCTCTTGTGGTATTAGAGGAGGTCAGAAGATGTGACCTCCCTCCCCCTTTGGTAGGAGAGGTGGAATAATGTTGTTAAGGGGCCCTAGTGGCACAGTGGTTTAGCCCTTGGCTAACTGCAAGGTCTGTGGTTTGAATCCACCAGCCACTCCACAGGAGAAAGATGCCTGTTTTTGTAAAGAGTATAGCCTAGGAAGCCTTATGGGGCAGTTCAACTCTGTCCTTGAAGGTTGCTATGAGTCAGAATTAACTCAATGACAATGGGTTTAATAACTTTGTCCAAGATCCACAGTGTTTCAGGGGCTGTGCTGGCACTTAAATCCAGGTGAGAAGGCCTTTGAGATGTACTCAATTTCCTTGTACTTGACTCCATTTTAACACATCATGTGTGTGCCTGTGTGCATGGGTACTTCCCCGAAAGATACCAATTCATCAATAGCACTATGGTTAATAATAATTCTACTCTATTTTTTTTCCCATCCCTGTATTTTTTTTTTTTTTGGGGGGGGAATTTCTATTAAACACAGTAAATATATATTCAAAACCAAAAACCCAAACTCACTGCCATTGAGTCGATTCTGACTCATAGCGACCCCCACTGGGTTTCTGAGGTGGTAAATCTTTACGAAAGTAGAGTGCCCCATCCTCCTTCTGCTAAGCGGCTGGTGGGTTTGAACTGTCAACCTTCTAGTTAGCAGGCAAATGTCTTAGGCACTGTGCCACCAGAGCTTCTTAAATATTTATTAATAAAAACCAAAAAGCAACAAACAAAAAAGAAAGAAAGAAACCATAAGGAGAGTGAGAAATCTGTATTGCTATGCACGTACTTTTAGGGATAGCAAGACTAACTTGGAAATTCCGAGTTCATTCATTCAAGAAAAGCTTACAGAGCTCCTACTTTAAGCTAACAGCATATTTGTATGGAAACATGACACATCTCCACAGAAAAATTACTGCTCTATTTCTAATGTTGTGTGTCATCAAGTTGATTCTGACTCACAGCAACCTTTGGGACAGAGCAGAATTGCTCCATAGGGTTCCCACACCCACCACTTATCTGTTAGTTTGTTGTACTTTGGTGGCATGTGTGTTGCTGTCATGCTGGAAGCTCTGCCACCAGTATTTTAAATGCCAGGAGGGTCACCCATGGTGGACAGGGTTCAGTGGAGCTTCCAGACTAAGAATGGGCAGAAGGATTTGATGATCTGCTTCTGGAAAAACTGGCCAGTGAAAACCTTAACGGATAGCAGTGGGACATTGTCTGCTAGAGTGCTGGGAGATGTGTCTCTCAGGTTGAAGGCACTCAAAATCAACAATGGACTCAAACATCACAGCGATTGTGAGGATGGTGCAGAACTGGACAGAGTCTCGTTCTGTTATACATGGGGTCACTATGAGTAGAAACAGACTCAAAAGCACCTAACAACAGCAATCATCTTTATGGAAGAAGACTGCCACATCTTTCTTCCACAGAGCCACTGGTGGGTTCAAACTGGTGACCTTTCGGTTAGCACTCAAGCACTTCACCACTGCACCATCAGGGCTCCTGTTTCTAATACAATACACCATGAAGTTTTGTGACAAGGCGATTGCTGGCTACAATAAAGATAAACACTTCTATTGTTCCATATATTCATCAGGAGCCCTGCTGGCACAGTGGTTAAAGCGTTAGGCTGCTAACCAAAAGGTCAGTGGTTTGAAACCAGCAGCTGCTCTGCAGGAGAAAGATGTGGCAGTCTGTTTCTGTAAAGATTTACGGCTTGGGAAGCCTGATGCAGCAGTTCTACTCTGTCCTTCAGGGCCGCTATGAGTCAGAATTGACTTGATGGTAACAGGTTTGGTTTGGGTTTTAGTATATTCATCAAGGCAAAAGCCCTCTCACCCCTGCAGCCTTCAAGCATAAAGACAGAAACAAAGCCAGTGGGTTATGTGCTCATACACTAGGAACAGATGCCAAAAAGTACCCAAAGACTCATGCTTCTTTTTGCTTGGACAAGGATGAGCACTTGAGACAGTGGGTTAGGTTTAGGAGCACACAGCAGGCAGCTGCTGCCGAAGCTAGAGCCTAACTGTTGTTGTTGTTGTTATGTGCCGTCGAGTCGCCCCGACTCATAGAGACCCCTCCTTGGGTTTCCGAGGCAGTATCACTACGGAAGTAGGATTGCCCAACCTTCCTTCCGAGAGCCTAACTGTAGAGGGAGCAAACTGGAAGGCGTGGAGGTTAGTGTCAGATGCCCAGCAGCCAATGGGTTGGAAACTCATTCCTTGGCTTCAGACTGCTTCTCATTCCTGCAAGGACCTCAGCAAGTGTTCTTAAAAGTCAAAATGCCCCACAGGGCACACTGGCCCTGGTGTATTGACTTGAATGAGGGACAATGTGGTGTGCAGGAAGAAGCATGAGGTCTGAAACCGGCTTTTGCTACCCATTGCTTGTGTGACCTTGGGCAAGCTAAGTAGCCACTTGGCTTTGGGTTTCATCCCTTGAATAAAAAGAACTAATCTATCTCATGGGATGTTTTTCTTTTTTTAAAGAATTAAGTGAGATGGTAAGTGAAAAGCCTCTGGTACCTAGTGGGCAAAAGATACATGGTCAGTGTCCTTTCATCACTTAGGTTGGGGTGTGAGGCATAGATTGGGATCACTCAGGAGCTAGTTTTCAAAATCCTATAACCCCAAACCAAACTCACTGCCATTGAGTTGATTCTGACTCACAGCAACCTCCGTTGGATTTCCAAGGCTGGAAATCTTTATAGAAGTAGACTGCTCCACCTTTTTACCATAGAGTGGCTTGTGGGTTTGAACCACTGATCTTTTGGTTAGCAGCCAAGTGCCTTATCCACCAAACCACCATGCATGCCCCTTAATTATAATCTTTACCCATGAGTGGCCCTCTTTGGTTTTTATTCATGTTTAGTTGTTGTTGTTGTTTGTGGATAATGGCTTGACATAGAAAATATTTCTCCTTCCCTATCCTGCAAAGCATTTGACTACTAACCAGAATGCTGGCAGTTCAAACCCACCAGCCACTCCTTTGAAGCAAAGCTGGGCAATCTACTTCTGTAGAGATACCGCCTCAGAAACCCAAGGAAGGGTTGCTATAAGTTGGATCCAACTTGATGGCAGTGAGTTTTTTTTTTTTTTTTGGTATTCTGCAAATTGGCAACAGAAGGAAGCCAGCAGAGGAATAAAGCTTTGGTGGTACATGGTGATGCCTGTGCAGAAACCGCCATGTTCTATCATCGCAGACTGTGGGGAGGTGGGCATGGCAGGCCCCACTTCAGCACCTCCTCAGTTACTCACGCCCTTTCCTGGGCTCACCCCTGGCACTATCAGAAAATGAATCAGAAATAAGGGTGGTCCTTTTTTTCTCCCTTTCTTATTACACGCTCATGGAGTACAGCTTTTACCCAATATTTAAAAAAAAAAAAAAAAAAAAACCCAGTTGCATTGACTTGACTGATTCATGGCGACTTGTGTATCAGAGCAAAACTGTGCTCCACAGGGTTTTCAATGGTTAAAGTTTCAGAAGTAGATTGCCAGGCCCTTCCTCCAAGGTGCCTGGGGGTGGACTTGATCCTCTAATCTTGAAGTTAGCAGCTGAGTACATTAATTGTTTGTATACCCCAGGGACTCCATTCAGTACTTCAAGGCTGGTGAAACCCAAAGGAAAAAGTTGGTATCAGGGGTCCAGAACATCAGCTCTATTTTAACACTCTCTGGGGTTAGAGGTGAAGAAGCCCCACCCTGGGTACTCAAGACCTCCTGCGGAAAGAATTGGGAAGGAAAGGCAGCAGCAAGTGGAGGGGACAGACATTGGGTGCTAAGAACCCCAGTTCTGGTGCTGTTGATGGCATCTCAGCCATTGCAGGATGTTGAACAGGCCACAGATGGTCTGCCTCACTTTCTCATATGTGAAATAGGGGAGGCAGAAAGGGGCTGGGGTGAGCAGACAAACAAAACTCCTTCAGCTCCAATCATGGATCAACAGCAGGTCTGTGGCCTACCCCTGGCTAAGGCCCGAACTTTTCTTCCCTCAGAATTTGGATGATGAGGATCTCCATGTCCTCCTCCCTGCTGCCCACCAGACTCCCACCTCTCCTCTTTAGTTTCTCCCAGGGAGAGCTACCCTGTACACATCCTTTCTCTGCCCTACCATTCCCACCTTTCCCTAGGTCTTGTTATTTCCTTTCTATCTCCTAAATGTATCTATAAAGACTCTAAGAACCTGTTTCTATCGAGTTGATTTGACTCATGGTGACTGCATGTGTGTCACAGTAGAACTGTCCTCCATGGGGTTCTCAATGGCTATAATCTCACAAAAGTAGATGGCCAAGCCTTTCTTCTGTGAATTTGCTGGGTGGATTTGAACCACTAACCCTTTTGTTAGCACTGAGCACAAACCATTTGTGCCACCAGGGACCATAAAGACACTTAAAGGAAAACAAAATGATCAAATGATTGTGCTTCAGCTAAGGGCCTCTGTGTGGGTTCCATTGTAGAGTCACGGATGCTTAAACGTCTTCAGGGAACAGGCAAGTGCATACACAAGCATGTGTGTTGTGGGATGATGGGGTGGGCAGGGTTCAATCCAAATTAACCGCCACCATTAAAAATATTAAAAATTAAGAATCAAAATGACCTACCTTGCTGGCCACCACCAACTGAACCATTCCAGTGGCTGAACGAAGAATGGCCACAGCTTCCTCGTGGGAGAGCCCGACCAATAAGTGACCATTGATAACCAGCAGCTCATCTCCTAAGGACAGTCGGCCATCCCTGAGGAAACAGAGAGGACAACAAAATCCCTTGTCAAGACATTCTAGGTCTGAGAAGGGACATTTCTTAGAGTTGGGGGCATTATGAGAGTAAACAATTGATATCGGGTAAAGAGAGAGCACTGACGACCAGAGGCAGTTTGAGGAGGGATTGCTTTGTCCTTTGGTCTCGCTGTCTCCAGGGTCCCATTGTTGTTGTTGTCAGGTGCTGCTAAGTCAATTCTGACTTCTGGTGACCCCGTGTGACAGAGCAGAACTGCTCCACGGGGTTTTCTGGGCTGTAATCTACAGAGCAGATCAGCAGGTCTTGCTCCCATGGAGCCACTAGGTGGGTTTGAACTGCCACTGTTTTGGTTGGCAGCTGAGTTCTTAACCACCTCACCACCAAGGCTTCTCTGGGGTCCCACTACAAAAATTAAATCCCTTATTGTTGGGTCGATTCTGATTCACAGTGAGCATACAGGTCAGAGTAGAACTGCCCCACAGGGTTTTCTTGGCTATAATATTTACGGCAAGACTGCCACGTCTTTCTTCTGCATTGTGGCTGCTGGCTTTAAACCACTGACCCATCAGTTAGCAGATGAGTGCTTAACCACTGCCCCATCAAGACTCCTTTGGAAGTCCCACTAGAGAGGTAAAAAGCTCCAGGATTTCAGATAGGGGCTTAGCAATAAGAATGTTCTTAAGTTGCTACCATACCTGGTATCAATGCCAACTAACCATTTCCCATCCAGGTGGAGATGTGATAGAGGAACCAAGACACCGATATTTTAGAATGTCCAAGTCATTTTTTTTTCACCTGACCTGCCATCCTACCCTCACAACTGTGTCATTAGTCCCAGAGCTGAGCCCCCAAAGAGCAAAGGTATCTTAAGCTCTCAAGGATCCTTTTCTAATCCACTACCTTCCCCTTCCCATGTGACAAGACTCTGATCAGATTCCTTCTGGCATCAGCACCTGTGACAACACTGCAGGTATCTGTCTTCCCTGACAGTTACAGGACTGTGCCGACAGTTTGTCAGCACCATTTTTATCTATGTGTCCCTATAGCCAAGCTTCATAAATAGATTGCTGAATAAACAAATGAACTAATAAACTCTCTAATGTGCAAACATGAGACCTGGTCTACAAACACGGGTCTACACAAATTCTCTGTTTCTTTAAATTAAATTACAGCTGACTCTGAACTTCCTTTCACTGGGTAGGCAGGAAGCTCAGATCCAGCTGTCATGGACTGTTTCCCCTAGTTCCTAATGGGGGGGGGCATTATAGGTGTGGGGTAGAGCACTGTACGGAGCATTTAGCAGCTCCCTCAATTATGGTCAACAGTCCTGTTGGTTCCAACTGAGCCAACTCCAATTGTCCAGTCTTCCTTGATCCCAAGGGAGCCGGAGATTTTCATCGCCGTTGCTGAATGTGGGATAGGAAATCTGGTGAGGCTGAGAGACCCTGAGTCTGGGATTCCACCATCCTTTCTGGAGGGTTGTTATCACCACCCAGGGTTCTGGTATGGAGCCTGTGCATGTCACCAATACTGCCAGATTCACTCAACTCTTGTCTTCCCACGAATCAACCAACTTTTTGCCTTCCATCTTCTCTGCCCCTCTTTATTGCCTTCAGCAGGTTTTCTCTCTTTCTTTCTCTCTCCTCCCTCTAGGATACATGTCATAATATTTTCTATGGATTTAGGCTTTAATAGAAGGCAGGAGACACCTGTTACTTCTAATATCCTCTGCTTTCAGTTCTTCAAAAGTCCTTGAAACAGAGAATTGCTAAGTGCCTCACCTACTGGTTGGAATGGAAAGACTGGGGGAAAGGGAATACAGAGAACAAACAAAATGGGATCTCAGGGAGGTATGCAGGTGGGCCACTGGGGAGAAGATGCTTCCTACAGGAGGAGTAGGATTTAAGAACAGAGAAAATGCAGTGATTCTGGTGAGTGTTCCTGGGTTTACTTGTCTATAACACCACTGAGACCATTTCCAACCCCAATACTCTTCCCATTTCTCCCTGTTTTACTCTTTAATTGTATCTATCTTATTTCCTGTTTTTAACGAGAGTTCCTCACTTGTGAGTCATACACTTCAGAGGTAGAGAGAGAAACGTATCTCCAGAGTAAACATGCAAAGAAAATGGTAAGATCCACTAGAAACAGCTCAGATGGGAAAAAGGCAAGAATGATTGGGCAGAAGCTCATCTCTGGGCACAGGAAGTTCCTAATGGCCAATTTCAAAGATGGATTAGAGAACCTCAGTGGGATTACTGGGAGAACAGCCAGATGAGGGAGCTCCTCAAAGCACACACCATTTGAGCAGCTTAATGATGGTGTTCATGAGTAGTAAAAAAAAAAAAAAAAACAAAAGCAAGAAACTAAGGTCTTAATCCTTTAAGAATTACTCTCATTCAGATAACTGACAATTATAGGTAGTCCTATCTCTACTTCAGTTATTAACATTCTACTTTATCTTCAGGAGGTCTGGTAGCATAGTGCCTAAGGCACTTGACTGCTAACCAGAAGGCTGGAGGTTCAAACCCACCAGCCACTCCTTGGAAGGAAGGTTGGGCAATCTACTTCCGTAGTGATACTGCCTCGGAAACCCAAGGAGGGGTCGCTATGAGTCAGGTCTGACTCAATGGCAAATAACAACAACAAACACTTTATCTTCAGAGGACTGGTTAGCATGAGACACTTTGCTAGTTTGTCCTCTTCTTAGTTTTCCATTGTTTAGACAAAATTCTACTATGGCTCCTTCCGCTGCTCTTCATGAGATACGTTTTTGAATCCCCTCTTAGTCTTGGGCAGGCCAACCCTACTCTGGTTTACTATATTCTCCTTAGAATCCAGGTACCCAGAACTGAACACCAAATTCTAGACTAGACCAAAGACCATCACTTCCCTCATTATAGACACCATCTTTATACGCCTCCTGTACATGTGTGGGTATGGAACATAGGTATACATCCCACAATGTCTTGCAAATTGTTGTATTATTCTGACTCATGATGACCCCATGTGTTACAGAGTATACTGCTCCACAGGGTTTCCTTGGCTATAATCTTAACAGATTACTAATTGTAGCAGATCACCAGGCCTTTTGTTCCATGTTACTGGGTGGGTTTGAACCACCAACTTTTAGGTTAGCAGTTGAGTGCAAACTGCTTGCACCATCTAGGGACCGTTTAGGTACCCCATGTGTATGAAAGCAGGTAGCTAACCTGGCAGGAACACAGACTACAGTTTGGGGTGGACACACATTCCTCTAATTCACAGAGAACTTGTTGTTTTTTGTTCTGGCTAAGTGCTGTCTCTCTTCCTACTTCAGATAGCTGTTCGAATTTAAAAAGAAGTTTCAAACTATTAATTGTTTTCAGGTCACAAGGAGAAAAAATTCACATGTACTTATTTTTCCTTCACATCTGCACAAAAGAGACATGTGCATGGAAGTGTGTGTAAAATCCCCATAGACCTGACAAGTAAAGCCCTAGCACACGAACCGTGGTCACATTTAAAATCAATCACTTTCCCAAGTCATGAGCCATAGTCTTCTGGGAGTTATGAACTCAGGAATGTGGGGTTCTGTTCAGTGGTACAGTTTTGATAAGTAACCCCATACTACATTGCCAGCATTCCAAAAGTAGGATAAGAAGCATTTGCTTGAAACTAAAAGTGGGCAAGGGGCAGGGGTGGGGAAGAGAAGAAGAAAGAAAGGAAGGATGGAAGGAGTCCAATCTCTCCTTCATTGTTTGCAAGATCCTGCAGTATCTTCAGAAATTAGTCACTTCCTGTGCTCTGAGGTATGTTTAATTAGAATCACTCTTGCCTTGCTTCCTTCCCGGCTCAGCACAGTCTTTAATAGTGATTCTTCAATTACAAGTGGAAGAGTACCAGAACAGAGGTGGGGGAGGGAGAGGCAGGGAGAGGAAAAGGAGACAGAGAAACGGGGAGAATTATCTAGTCACCTGTGAACGGCACCTCCTTCCTTCACTTGAGTGACAACGATAGCGTGAGGTGAGCGCTTTGATCCTCGGCCTCCACTAACCTGAATTCCCAGCCCGTCTGACTCTTTGAGCAGCTCCATCTTCCATATCCGGCCAACTTCCTCCTTGGAATTAAAAACGAGCACAGTGTAATGTATAGTAATAGCAACACGACCATGACATTGTCATGTCAGGGCAAGCACCCATCATTTGTCAACAGACATTGCAAATCATCAAGGAAGGAAACATTCGGTGGGTCAGACCAAGTCTGTACCTGGCAGTGCTGTTCAATGGAATTTTCTGTGATAATGGAAACATTCTATGTCTGTACCATTCAATATGGAGCCACTAGCCACGTGTCTGCCACTAGTCTGTCAGTTTGTCGTACTGTGGTAGCTTGTGTGATACTGAAAGTTATGTCACTGGTCCTTCAAATACTAGCAGGGTCACTCATGGGGCCAGGTTTCAGCAGAGCTTCCAGACTCAGACAGACTAGGAAGAAAGGTCTGGCAATTTACTTCTAAAATTACTCAGTGAAACCACCATGGGTCACAGTAGAACAGTGACCTACTCACTTGCATTGGACATGTCATCAGGAGAGATAAAATGCTGGGCAAGGTGACGTAGAGGGCCAGCGGGAGTGAGGGAGATCCTACATGAGGTGAATTGTCGTAATGACCGAAATAATAGATGACGAACATCATTTGATGATGACTGTGATTGTGACGATGAAGCAGGACTGGGCAATGTTTTGTTCTCTTGTAACATAAGGTTTTCATGGGTTGAAGCTGAGTCAACCACAGCCACCTGTCTGTCTATGTGTCTGTCTAGCTAGCTAGGTACATAGGGTCCTTGAGCATTTTAACTGTGGCTAGTGGCCCCGAGGAACTGAACTTTTAATTTCACTGAATTTGAATTAACCTGTGGTTAATGGCTATGATATTGGCTATCACAGCAAGAAGGAATACCAAGGGCCCAGAAGAGCAGGGCCCTGTTAAGGGAAACTTCCGCCCGAAACCCAAACACTGCTTTGTGTGTAAACAGTGGCTATGCCTGAGCTCCTTTTACTTAAGCAAGCTGCTCATTGATGAAGGAAGATGAGAGAAATACAAAGATGGGTCTTGGTGCCAGAAGATTTCAATGAGTTTGCACTCAGCTCTGTCATTCACTAGTTTGAAAGTCACATGACTCCTGCTTCCTTGCTTATGTGGTAGGGATAATTATTGATATGTCCAGGCTTGTTGTTAGGATTCAGTGAGATATTTACGAAAACACACAGTAGCACCCATACCCATGTTGATAGGAAATCATATATTGTTGTTGTTGCTAGGTACTGTTGAGTCAGTTCCAATGTACAACAGAATGAAACACTGCCTAGTCCTGCACCTATGCGTTTATTATCACTTACATTATATATACAGATACATGCATATGTTTAAAACATCATATTGAATTCAATCTCAAGTTTATTTAAAATATTTAAATGAGATTTTTACTAGGAGAAGCCAAAACAGAAAAGTAATTGGTGAATTTTTTGTTATTGACTGCTACAGACACTGGGCCATGCATTCTTTAAATACGTTAAAAATGCTTCAACTTCTATAAAAATCTATCCTTTTAAAAAAGTCATGGATGTCTCAAAGCCTTCTGATTGCTGGTAGCCCTTCTGCATTGGTTCATCCTCACTTGAGTCCCTTTTTCACTCTAAGGACATAAACATATGCCCACTATAATAAGTTCTGAGTTCCCCGAGATGCTTAACTCTTCAGGGAAATGAAAGCAAAACACTCCACAGTGACTTATTTTGGGGTCTTTAGATTACTCCAATAGTTGATATAAGGGTATGGGTAATAACATTCCTCAACTTATAAAACAAAAGCCATCTGCTTCCTTCATCCATCATGAAGGGCCAATGGGACAGTTGAGGTCCAACAGTCACCAAGTGATCATCCTCTCAGAAGCAGGCAACCTGCCCACTCCAGCTGCTTGCAAAGGAGAAAGAATGTGAAGCATTTAGAAAATCTGCAATGCACCCTGTCAAAACCAAAATGAAATTTTTGCAATAGTAAAAAACCCAGATGTTGAGTGCTCACTGATGTGCACTGATAGGAACGTCTTGGGAAATGATTTCCAGACCGAGACCTGTTGGATCCTCCACTCTTTCTAGTAAGTGCTGCTTGGTGGGGCTCCATGACTCCAGTAACACACAGAGGTACTAACCGCCTCCTTCAGCCCCTGACCACAGACAAATGAAGCCTGTCTGGCCAAATGTAACTTCAGAAGTCACTGGCTTACCACAGCAGTTCATGAACTTGTCAGCGATCCCTAGATCATCCAGTTGTCTCACTTTGGACTCCACAGTTTTTGGTTTGCTGCCTCTAACCTCTGGAACACTATTCTCTTCCACGTTCAGAAACAGCTTCTCTGGCCTTAAGTCTCCCGTAACTCCACTACTGCCAATGAGCCATTCTTGAGGATCATAGCAGCCATCAAGATGGAAATTTGCAATACTCCCAATATATGAGACAATATGGCCAACTGGATAGCACCGAAAAGAACAAATTCAGAGATACACTGATGAACTGTTGTCCTATCTTGCTGAGCATCCTATGGAGAGCCTGAAGGATGCCTCCTTGGGCCTCGATTGATTTGTTTTTTCCATGGAAGACTATGGGAGCTCTGGTAGCATAGTGCCTAAGGCAATTGACTGTTAACCAGAGGCTGGTGGTTCAAACCCACCAGCCACTCCTCAGAAGGAAGATTGAGCAATCTACTTCCGTAGTGATATTGCCTCAGAAACTCAAGGAGGGGTCTCTATGAGTTGAGTTCGACTTGACAGCAGTGTTTGGTTGGTTTTGGTATGGAAGACTATACTATGGCTCCTGGGGTCTGGAAGATATGGGGCAATTCTCCTCCCTTGCCCAGAGCACCCCTTTCTCAAGAGCAACAGGGGCCATTGATGGAGTCCAGAAATAAGAAGTCACATCTTATTTTGGCACAGTGAGTAAAAAACCTATCTATCTTCCCTTACTACTTTACACCATCATTTTTTTCCCCTTCTCTAGCCTCCATTTTAAAACAAGACATATGAATATGGCTCACAGAGAATGTGACAATACTAGACACATTTCTTTCTACTTTTTGAAATGCTTTCAGAAATAGGACTTGTGACAAGAAACATATAAAACTCTTCATGGAGAAGGAATACTCACCTAAATGAATACCCTAACTGAAGAGTTAAAGTCAATTTTCATGAAGAGTATCCACATACCTACTCTACACCCCCTGCTTTTTGGACCAACACACACACAAGTAGTTTTAAAACAAAACAAAACAAAACACGTATCTAACAAAAATGGCTTCAGAGGGCAGCAATGACCCATCTGTAATATAGCTCCCCAACTGTATTCGTCAGAAAACAAGTCTTATTCTTCAGTTTTATCCAGTTAACATGCTTGTTTGTTTTTCATAATTGAAAGTGGGAAATTTAACAGGAGAGTTCAAAGAAATAAATGCAAGCTTTCTTGGCCTGGAGTTTCTTAGCCATCTAACGGAGGAGGAATTTCTTAACTATCTAATAAAAAAGTTCCGAAGAACATAAAGGGAGGCTCAAGAAGCAAGAGGAAAACATTAACAGTCTTAATTGTACAATTGTCAATAGTAAATTTAACTGCCTATTCTGTTTTTTTTGTTTTTTTTTTTGCTTTTTATAGCTAAAAGCAATATTTGGTTAAAAATAAATGCTATCAAAAGTATAAAAAATAAATGATATTTGGTGTTTGAAGTTCATTAGGCTAAAATTGACACTGGCCAAAACCCACTAGCCAATTTAAAGATGTTGTTGTTGTTTGCCATCGAGTTGGCCCCGACTCACAGCGACCCCTCCTTGGGTTTCCGAGGCAGTATCACTACGGAAGTAGGAATGCCCAACCTTTCTTCCGAGGAGTGGCTGGTGGGTTTGAATCTCCAGCCTTCTGGTTAGCAGTCAAGTGCCTTAGGCACTATGCTACCAGAGCTCCTAATTTAAAGATAATAATGTTAAATATATTTCCAACTGCCCTCTTACAATGCCCTTTGTATATCTACTAGACATCTCAGTAGGGTCAACACAGGGCTCTTCCCCCTCTCATTCTTGGCTTTCCCATCTCAGTAGGAAAAGCACTATCATATACTCAAGCTAAAGGTGATACTTAAGTCAAAAGCCCATGAATTATCTTTGATTCCTCCTCTTATCTCATCTCCCACATCCAACTCATGATAAGATCTGTAGGTCTACTTCCAAAATAGCTCCCAAAGCCTTCCATCACCATCACCTTTGTCAATGCCACCAGCATCTTCAGCTTGGATTACTATAGTAGTCTCCAACCTGGCCTCCCCATTTCTCCTTCACCTTCTCAATAGTCTCCATTAAACACCCAGAATGAACTTTTTAAAAGCATATGTCATAAGGCATTCAGCTTAAACCCTCCAATGGCTTCCTTCCTACTAGGCTTAGAATTAGGGTCAAATTCTGCAATGGCATGTATAAACCTTTGTTGTTGTTAGGTGCAGGAGTCAATTCTGACTCACAGCAACCTATACAACTGAGTAGAACTGCCCCATAGGGTTTTGTAGGCTGTAATCTTTATGGAATAAGATTGCCAAGTCCTTCTTCCATGGGGCTGCTGGATGGGTTTGAACTACCAATCTTTCTGTTAGCAGCTAAGAACTTAACTGTTGTACCACCTGGGGTTCTTTGTAATCCAGCCCTGTCCCTATCTCTTGCATCATCTCCTAGCAGTCTTCCCATCACTCAGTGTGCTTCAGTCTCTCTACTCTTAGAACATGCTACCATTCCTGTCCTGGGACAGCTGTTTTTCTGGTTCAGAATGATCCTTGGGAGGGAGGATAGTGAGACTTCATTTCATGTCCTTTGGACATGTTATCAGGAGGGACCAGTTACCTCTACTTGGTAAAGTAGAGGGTCAGTGAAAAAGAGGAATACCCCCCAATGAGATGGACTGACACAGTGGCTACAGCAATGGGCTCAAACATAGCAATGATTGTGAGGATGGTGCAGGACCATCTGTGTTTCGTTCTGTTGTACACAGGGTTACTATGAGTTGGAAATGACTCAATAGCACCC